TCACATATATAGTACATGCTATCAATAAAGTTATTTTTCCAAATATATAAATATCTATAGAGCGAGTGGTTATATTGATTCTACATGTATAATTATTAAATACAAAATCACTTAATATAAATTTTCGGTAGTTCAGATATATATCATATGTGATCTTTTCGTTTGCAGTGTAATATTACAGTCTCTCGCGTGAAGATGGCTGCTAACGCCACTCACGTAGAATTCCAGAGTGCAGAAATGTAGTCAAAGTAATGCAATAAACCGTCGCCCATCCGTCCGCTAGTCTGTCAGTAGAAGACCAATGAGACCAATAGTTGACTTTATTCAAGCAAGTTCACACACGAAATCACTTTCAGAATGTCCCTGCTTACGATATTTTAAAAACTTTTATAAATCTAGTTCTCGATAATTATCCGAACTACTTTCTATCATAATATAAATTTTTTACCGACATTTGATTCGTTAAAATAGCATTCAATTATTAGTTTTAGAGTTGCAATGCTTTTTCGTTGATTCATCAGAGTGAATGAAAGGCTCTCTCGAACTCAACATCCAATTTTACGAAATTGTCGAGATACATTTATCGTTAAAGTTCGCTACGCGAAAGTTCTACCTGATATTTCCGAAGAGTTTCGCACATTTTCTTGTTGGTATATTTTATTGTATATATTTTATTACATTTTATTTTCTATTGAATTTACAACACAAATATACATTTTTCCATACTTAATAAATTTGAAGATATAAAACTGAATTTACTTTAATTAAAAGATAAATAAGTTGTTCTAAATTATTTGGAACTTTTATGTAAAGTTTGTAGGTAGATAAAATGAATAAGTTTATAAATTTAATATTAACAAACAACGAGTTAAAAACATTTTTAAAGTTTTAGCAGTCAACATAAACATATTTCAAGATGGAATTATTTGGCTTTGTGTAAAATTATATACTATATATTTGCTATTATCTGAGATAAATATCACTCAGGAATGATTTTTTTTTATAATTATTTTGGTAACAGACTAACAATCATTATTCTCTCTGGCTAGCTATTTCACATAAAACATTGTTAATTCAATAACAGTAGAGAATCTCTCGTCCATAACGAGCAAATTATTCCATCAGAATTAAATTTTCACCTGTATATGTGCATGTGCACATGTATGTATACGTATGTGTGTTCATACAAATATCTATGCTGCGTACATTGTGTTGCTAGACGAACTGGAATGAATGGCATGCGTAAAATTGAAGAGACGAATGCTATGAAATAGCGAACAAAGCTATATCACACTTTTTTCATCTTTTCCAAATATAGAACGATCATTAATAACGTGCAAATGCACTTCGATACCAAATTCCATTGAGAATTCTGCAACTCTTCGAGGTATGGCAAGATCGTGGATTTGATCATCCTCGAAGTATCTCAGAGCTCTTTTTTTGTGAAGAAATCTGCGATCATCAACATTCCGATGGCATGTAATATATTCTAAAATATATATTATCGATAGAAATTCATTGTGTAAAATTTACATAAAATAGATGACACAGCAAATGCTAATATACGATGGAATTTTATGCAGTACATAATTGCAAAATTAATATCTATATAAATTATTGAATAGACTATTATTATTCTAGTTACTTTGATTTGATTATAAAGCCGAACGAAACTATTTATTCATTATAATCAGTAATATCTTATAATAATTTAATAACATTTAATATGATTTCACGAGTATTCATCTGTCCAAATTCAACTGTCCAACTATTCCTGTAATATATATTAATACAAATTCCGTGGTTATCTTTTTTTTTATTTTCTCGTAATTTGTATGATATTTTGTAGTAAAACTCAAAATGAACATATAACAGTACTGCTGAGGGTCACGTTTATGTTTTATGTGATATTTTAACGAAAACATGTATTTGGAACTGAGTCGAACAAAACTTATTAAAATAATTACTTTACTTTCACGCGTGTAGCGGCGAAACATAAGGGAGATACAGCCTTTACAGCTAATTACAGTACAAAAAACAAAGTACGATACCGCTCTCTTATTCTCTATTCAGAGTATAAATCCAAATAAAATTAGGTATCCTACACTCTTTTCTTTCACCTTACGTAGTATCATGATCACGTGCGATGTTAGATTTAATTGAACCTCGTGTAGCATTAGATATACAATCCATTAGAATTCTTGGCTCGGAAGTCTCTCGAGTTTTAAGATATGACATACATGGTTGTAAAATTCTCAATCAAGATCAGTATATGATAATAGAATGTTATTGTTATTAGATTTATGATTATTTAGAATTTTTGATTTAGTGGACTTATACTTAATTAAAATAATTATTTATTTCATAAATATAAAAATTTATTAAATTTAAAATATGACATATCTTAATGTTACCTATAATGTCTTTTAATTTTTATTATTAAATTGTATAGAGATTTAGAATAATTAACCTTTAGTATCAGAATAATTAATCTTCAATATCAAGATTTATCCATTTGAAGATATTAGAATTATGAAATTTTGCAAAATGTTATAATTTATAATTATAATTGTACAATATATAGATGTAAACTAAACGATATAATTTAACTTTAGTTTTAATTTTTAATAACATTTTTGAATGACCTATAAAAATGAGTTTTATAGTATTAATAGTATTAATTCATTACGGATATTGATAATTTCAATCTGTAAGATACAATATATATTAATGTCAATTTTTATTAATATGTATTATTTTTAATCTTGATTTAACCTACTTTTTGTCTTTTTTTAATTCAACAAATTAAAAAAAATAAAGAATAATTAAAGAGTAAATTAAAGAATGTAATAAGAGTAAAATTAAGATTATGATAGACATTGAAGAAATGGACATAAGAGTTTTTTTTTAATTTTTATTTTATACAATGTTAAAATATAAAGACATAACAAAATTGATTCTATTTTTGTTGATATACATAACTGATATAAATTAAAATAAAACCGATTTAACTCAATGTTTTAAGTATATATATATTTAAAACATTGAGTTAAACGCTTTAATCGATTTTATTTTAATTTTTGAGCGATATTATTTTTAAAGTGATATAAATCTTATCGCGCTGTTGTAATCTTAGATATCTCTATTCAGTGCATTAATGAAACACTTTCGGCTCTAAGTGACTTGCCATCGAGCGTCGGACAAATTTCTTTTAACTTCTTTTGATGCTTTTGTCGATGCTTATTACATTAACATAAGAATGGACGTGTACTTACGGCAAAAGAGTCGGTGGAATCGAGTCGGAGTTACCGGCGCCTACTTGGCCGAGTCACATTTACATATTCTGAGAGAAAGAAATTCTTAAAAGGAGATTGCTAGAGAGGGACGAATGTCGACCTTGTGAATGTCTTGTTCTTGTGATTCGCCTCACAAGGATCTATGTATCGATTGACGACATCTTCTGTTTGAGAAACAGTAGTGTGTTCAGTGTGTACGTGAGCGAAATTACGGGGCTGTATGAATACAATTACCCGTATTAATCGATTGTCGATATATAGCATATTCCGTTATCTTGTATTCTGTTACCGATAGTGATTGATCTGATTACAAATTAACAACATATATGTAATACTAATTTAATAATGTATTATGTATGATCTTTTTACACACGGGTTTAACGTGCAATGATAATTCAGTTGCAGAAATTCAGATAGGAGAAAATATTTTTCTAATTAGGTAAAATTATATCGTATATGAGAATGTTGAATGGTTATAACGGTTATGCTGTTAATTTCTCGTTCACGTCACAGATTTTGTCCAACGTAATAATTGTTTCTCTCCGCATGAGGGACAGTACTGTTTTCTCTTACCTTAATAATGTTACGGTTGCTTATTGCATCAACACTGAGTGAACAGTTCTGGCGAACAGCAGGGCATACTCCACTTTCAAGAAGAGCATAAAATCATATCTCGTTAAGTGAAAATTTCATTATGAGCTATGTTTCATTATCATCATAAATTAGTTTTTTCTCACAAATGATAATTATATCATTAACCCAAACAAATTATTATTGTTTAAAGTCTTTTTACTAATTAATACTAATGGTTTTTCTAATTTCTGTTTCATATCCAACTCATTTCTTGATATTTCCATTATTTTTGTAAACGGGCATAAATAAACATATTTATAATAATAATTATTTTACATAAACATTCTGCTCCTGTTGTATCAGTTTCTTAACAAAATAAAATAATCTTATTATTTGTTGAAAAATTTTCTTTATACAGACTTTTATATTTATTAAATATTTAGCAATATTTAGGTAGGCATTTAACCGTAAATTAAATATTTGAAGAAATATAGATTACATTAATATAAAAATCATATATTGCTTATCTCGATTATTAATTACTGTATATCTTGGATCTTGGTTTAAATGTTAAAATTAAAAACGGTTATTATAGATAATCTCACTTTTCGCTGACCTCGCCCATATTAAACCGTAGACCGGATATTATCCCTGCGGCATTGTTTTCCTGCTCCTTCTCACCCTCTATCTGCCACCCTCTTCATATCACATCAACATTTGAAAAATAGTTCATGCTTTTATTAAGGGCAATAGAATGCCGAACACTGATGCAATAAAGGATGACACGAAGAAGTAGAGGCAAGTCCTTCATTTTTCATAGCCTCGACATACTTGCTACGTGCAAAAGTTCTGACGACCCTTAAAGTACCATGGACTGCCACCGCCGCCGCCGTCAGCACGTATCTGTCGCGGTATCCATGGCGACTGAGCACATGCGCGATGGGGTTACTCGGGCCATCCGCCGTGGAACACACCACGGGGGTGGTTTTTCGTGTTGGCATACCCGGGCGGTTGGCTGGGCGGTGTCTGCGGCCTTCACTTTCCTCCCGAAAATCGAAGGCTACGGGGGTGGTAGCCGTCCCTTTTTCCTCTGTCTCTCCTCTTTATCACCTTCTTCATTTTCTACCTTTCATCTATTCTCTTTCTCTTTTCCTCTTTCTTCTTTCCTCTTTCATTTTTTCCATCTGTATCTATATCTCGTCCTGTTTTTATTTCTTTCTCTTTCCATTCTTATCATTTTCGCGCCTATCGAGTTTACGCTGTTTTTAACTTCTTTTATACGGAGTGCGCGTCGTCAGACATACACGTGTTAGAAGACCATGCGAGGGTGTCATCCGCACCGTCACAACGATGCACGTGTCAAAACAACAAAAAACAAGTGAAAGTGTCGCAGTCCCGGTGCTTCGTTGCGGTTCGCTCGTTTTGTGCGCGCCGAGTTCGCACAGCTGGCAGCGTTTCGGGGGGCTTCTTTCCGTCTACATTTTTTGAAGATTCTCGAGGGTTGAAGGGTTCTCGAACGATTTCGACAAACGACTGTTGAAGTCCGTAAGTACTGAGTATGTAAAGTGCCCGGGAAGAGCTCCAGTAGATCGAAAGATCATACTTGGATCAACCGAGCGTTTTCGCTGCGCCAGTGAAACTTCCTAGTCACGTGAGCAGCAAGGGTGGCAAGGAGGTAAGAAGGAGCGATTTGAGTATGCCGTAGTCAGCGATACGACGACGAAGGGCGAGATACGTTCCGCGTGGAAAGCTGTCGATGGATCCCCCGATTCTCGTCGACAAGTGAGGGCAACTATACACATCGATCGATCAACTGAACAGCTATTCCGAAGATCGCTGTCAGTCTCGGTCGTTTCGCGACGAAGTGCGTATCGCTGCACCGATTCTCGAAGTCGCAACGAATCGTGGCACTTCATCACAATTGGCAAACTTTCGTTGTAAACGTTTCAAACACGCGACAACTTCTGCAAAACTTCAAACTTCAAACGTGATGATGAATCCGAAAAAATACGCTATGCTGAGCGCGGCAGCAAAACAGCTGACGGGTGACAATAACTCAACACGCGTCATTTGCAACGTGATCGGACGGTCAATAGCGCGGTGATTTAAATAAACACACATTCGAACAAAGCGAATTGGCCGTGAGTACCAGCACAGCTTCCACTTCGCGCGATGAAGATCGTGCAACGCGTGGATGCGTCCAATTTCGATCGAGAATGACCTGATTCCATCTTCAGAGCTAAGATCGATCCTGGAGAATATCCCTTCCTCTGTCGCTCTGCATGTCCATCTCTATCTTCCTCTCTCGCAGATTCCAGAGGAACGTCGTGTCCACAGAAACGGATCTTCGTGGTCGGCGCGGATAATCATGTCGCGACCTGACACCACTGCCACATCGATCACTGTCAAGTAGATCGTGTGATCGCACTTGTGTGCAACTTTATTGAGGTATCTCATCGTTTTCGTTGATCCAGAAGTGGATCATCGATGCGAGTTAATGATGCGAGTGCGGATGAGTACGGCTAATTGCAAATCAAAGTCTCGAATATATTCTACTTACTTTATACATAATATTCGAAGCAGTTTGAAAATTTTAATCGGAATATTAATGTCTGTTTACTTATGAAGTATCGGAATATTGTTGAAGACATACTAATTGAAAAATACTTAAAACGTCAAGCGTCCCGCCATATCATATTTTCTCATTCTCTTTTTTCTACTTCTTTTTCTAAATTTATAAATTAAATGCATGAAAATATTCATGTGATATAGATGTAATATTCTGCTTAAATAGAAATGTGTATTTTACAAATACAGTTTTGGACCATTATATTTAAATATTTAAATATTAAAAATATTTATTTTAAATGCATGACTGACATGTATAACAGTCGTATATATGTAACACACATTTAAAATACCAAAGTTTTATACTTTTACAATTTATTTTTGGCTCTAGCTATTAATGATCGTGTGCGAAAGGTCAATCATATTCTCTCCACCGAGAATCTATATTTGTAATGTTATTGCAATTTGGTCATTCGGCTCTGCAGCGATTTGATCCATTCGCGAAAATATCCCATTTGAATGGCATACTTATCGCCTATACTCCAAGCTCCAAGCTACAAGAGCGATATACCAATGTGAATGGGGACAATTGTCGATGCCGTGCACACCTCGCGGAAATCATCCCAGTGCTATTTCTCTTGCGCGTAACATAACAGTTCCCACGCGCATCATCGCGTTACGCCTGAGTTAATTCTATCAGTCGGTCCCACCAAAGTCAACACAACATCTGTTAGATGTTTCGCGTGAAACGTTGCGCGTGGGTCCTTCAACATCATCTCTCTCTTGCCCGATTATATATTCTGATTGGTCCGTTAACCACGAGTCATCCGCAGCGCCGAGTATCATGCATTGGATGACAATGGATGACGCCTGCTTGCATAATGCCGCCGAAACTCCTACGCTTGAGTCTGACTCTTCCGCAAACCTCGAATATAGTAGTATCTTCCGACATGTGTCCTTTAACAAGGCGCTAATTGCCGGCCACATCGATTCCAAATCCTATCAAGAGACGAATAAACACATCAATATTGATGGAACGAGATATTTTTTTATTCTCACCTCGTTTCATTTTCGGTCTTTGTTTGCGCTTTCGAATAAACAATATTACGATTTTGTTTATCAGAGTGTGTGACGTCATGTTATTTTTTTGCGCAACGATCGGTGATGTATAGACACAATTTATCGCGCTTTGGAGTTCATTTGCAGTGCAAAATGGTTAGCAATGGTTTGCAGCACGCTTCTGCAACGTTTCTTTGGTTATTGCATTATTGCTCCACGAGATATCGATTCGCTGCCTTCCATTTATACGAATCTTCAACATATCTGAATAAAATGCAGCATGTTTTCCTATTTTTATCATTAATCCTTGTTAAATTGGAATTGTTTTTCAACGAAGGATCAGGTGATTAGCTTACATCAAATTGAATTGAACAAATAATATAAAACTACAAAAATTGAAGTTATTAGAAAAATTATTAGAAAAATATTTGAATAAAATAAAAATAAACAAATTTCAATCTAAGTAAATAAAGTTAAATGCTATATTTTATTTACAAAACTTAATTAAATATTCCAATTATTAGATTATTTTTATAAAATAAGAAATAAATAATTCATAATCATTGTGAAATATAATTGCAATTTTATAATTATTGAGCTAATCTTCAAGAGGATTAAAAAAGATCTAGAAATCATTAAAGTGAATATTTCAAGTAAATAAATTGATACAAATATTATTTATTTTTAAATATATTATTTATTATTAAAGAAAAGTGTAGCATTAAACATGCAAATTATTAACTAATATAGTAACTAGTATAGTATGATAAAAGTAAACAGCTTTTCCATATAAAATCTGTTTATTGAATATGACTCAACCTGAGTTTCGATTATATGCAACTTTTATTACGTTAACAACCTTATTGTTCCGCAATCGCGCAGAGTTTGGATTAAACCAGCTGGAACACCGGAAGGTGGCACATGGCCTTAATAGCTGCTTTTATTCTTTGTTTCTTACTCGTTTACTTCTTGTCTTTCACGAATTGATAACCGTACACCTTGTTTTATATTACAGTCTGCGCGAGCTTATAAAGTAATATAATAGTGATATAAAAATTTTCTTACATAGATTTCTAGTCTCTTTTCATACATATATTTAATGAAATAACTTTAAGTGAATCTCTTTTTTGAAAATATTTTATTAACTTTTTATTCTAGCATATATGAGCAAAATCTTAAAAATTTTACTAGATTTTTTCTATACATTGTTATGTATTTTTAGTTATTCTTTTTATTATTTCAATAATGTTGTTCAGATTTTATTCTATTTATTTATTTTACTTATTTACATGCAGATTTAATATTTCTATAGCAATTTTCTTACTTATTTTAATCTTAATATTAATTTTTTATTAAAATATCTAGCTCATGTTAAGAAAAATAAAATATATTTAAGACAAATATAATTTCTATGAAAAATTTCAAAAAAATAAAATTGTATAAAATGCAATTAATAAAAAGTTTATTAATAAATTATATCGAGCAATATATCAAGTTTGAAACATGAATCGTTGATATAATTGACATCTGTTCAAGTAAAAACGTATTTCATGAAAATGCAGAAAATTATATAAAAATATGATAATTTTCTGATTACACTTTTTTGTTGCGTTCCTTAAACTTATCCTTCAAGCTTTTCCCTGTCCCTTGATTCTGTCTTTTGCTGCCCTCCGGCGTATTTTTAGCTATAATACATATTATATTTATATATAATCAGCGTATATACGTATATAGTATATATTTTTTCTTAATAGCGCAGTTGATTCTTGTTTGTCAAAAAAAGTGGTTGTATGACGAATGCCAGAAAAGCAATTCCAAGGTGTGTCACTCCTGCATGATGTATGGCAATCCAACAAAACCTTTTTCCATTCACATTTGATCGTTTACCTCTGTCCTTTAGCTTTATTTTTTTAATTTCCGTGACGTAATCGACCATTGTTAACATTCGAGTCACGTGTACAAACCACCTGTAGATAGTGAATATATCCAATTGTACACTTTCCATCTTATTTATGCATTATTAATTTGCATAACAGATGTATAATAATAAATACAAATACAATGCATAAATATCTTTTATTGATAAATAAGTTAGATTAACATTATTCTGTGATGTTTTGAATTTAATTATGATATGAATTAGTATGAACCTTATGAGTTTCAAGCAGAAATATGTTTTAGAACTGTTTCTACACACATCTTTGTGAAAAGAAATTAAATGATAATTTAAAAAAATTAAAAAAAAATTAAAATGAAAATTAAAAAGACGCTAATTTAAAATTCTTTTTACTTCTATACAAAAGAATGTTGAACCAGTAAGATGTTAAAATAAAAATGATTTCTAAAGCAACAGGTTAAATGTAACCACTTTTGTGGTTTAATAGCTTAAATAAAACATGTACAAAAATGATGTTAAAATTTTATTTTAACAGTCAATTGTTAAAAAATGTTACAATGAAATTGTTTCTTTTCATTTATGAGAATAATTAAAATGTGCGAATGTTTAAAAATTATTAATATCTAGAAAAAGATATATACAAAAGTTTTAATACATATTGAAATATATTCAAAATATAATTAAATAGAAGTAGTGTAAAAAATGCTGAAATGCTTTATAAAATGATGTAAATTAATAGAAATAATTGTATTTTTCTCCGTGACTTTTTAGATATATATATTTTTTCCTCTCTCAACAAATTTTGAAATAAAATATTTACTTTGAAATAAAATTATTAATTAACATGACATTGTATGTACGGAGAGTGACGCACAGAGGGTAAGGCACGACATATGTGAATGATGCTTGTCTTATTTATCAAATAATTATGGGAACGTTTAAATGCAGTGGTTCCGGTTTGCGAATATTATGCGCTGAATTTCGCGCATGAAACACGTGAATAAGCAGATAGTCAAACCATGATAATTTCAATGATAATTCCGCCTCAATTTCGCGCTCGTAATAGTTTCCAAGCGTGTTGTGATTATTGATAATCATAGCGTGTAATGTTATGCTACTGTCAAAAACAGAAACGGAAATTTTTTTCAAATCTTTGTTGCAGAAATTTACTTCGTAAATTATAATATACAAAATATTTGGAAATATAAAAAAATATTTTTAATAGTTATGTATGTACATATATTTAATGATTATATAAATATTTGTTTATTCATTACTACTTTTCATTAAAATTTTAAAAAGGAAAATAATTACAATTGGAAGATTGCCGTTAATAAATAATAAAATTGCTTTCTCTTTGGAATGAGAAATAAATACATATAAGACATGATGGAACTTAAAGTGAATTCTTATAGATGGAACTTGCGAAATTAATCTATTATTAATCTCATTAGCACTGAAACCTGATCTGTAGCGACGTCGAAATAGATTGCGAATACAACTCGGCTGTTAATGACAAGGGTTTCACCATCTCATCGACTGTATCGTATTGCACTCCCAATTTGTATCGAATTTAATTCACGTA